TCAGGCTTGAAGGCTTCCATAGATTTTTCTGTTACAGCAATGGCATATTCTGTGGAGTAATTCTTCAGACTGCCATCATGTTCTCTCCATTGGGGTTCTTTTCCATAGCACTGACAGTCAGTTTTATAGAATGTTGTGTTTAATGGCCTTTATGGCACCCTGATCTAGAGGCTGAGTTAGAGATGTGTTTAGAGGCAACTAGACTACTTTAACACTTTCAGTGTTAAACTGACAAGGTTCTGAGTGGCCAGGGGCATTGTCAAACATAAGAGCTTAAAAAGGCAGTCACGGGCCGGGCGCGGTGGCTCACGCCTGTAATCCCAGCACTTTGGGAGGCCGAGGTGGGTGGATCACGAGGTCAAGAGATCGAGACCATCCTGGTCAACATGGTGAAACCCCGTCTCTACTAAAAATACAAAAAATCAGCTGGGCATGGTGGCACGTACCTGTAATCCCAGCTACTCAGGAGGCTGAGGCAAGAGAATTGCCTGAACCCAGGAGGCGGAGGTTGCGGTGAGCCAAGATTGCGCCATTGCACTCCAGCCTGGGTAACAAGAGCGAAACTCTGTCTCAAAAAAAAAAAGGCAGTCACTTACTGGCAAGGTACTTCTTGATTTTAGAGATAAAGCTTGGTGGGGCCAGGCACAGTGGTCATGCCTATAATCCCAGCACTTTGGGAGGCCAAAGTGGGCAGATCATGAGGTCAGGAGTTCAAGACCAGCCTGGACAATGTAATGAAACCTCATCTTTACTAAAAATGCATAAATTAGCCAGGTGTGGTGGCAGGCACCTGTAGTGTCAGCTATTTGGGAGGCTGAGGCAAGAGAATCGCTTGAACCCAGTAGTCAGAGGTTGCAGTGAGCTGAGATCTTGCCACTGCACTCCAGCCTGGAGGACACAGTGAGACTATCTCAAAAAAAAAAAAAAAAAAAAAAAAGGCATGGGTGGATTCAATCCAGAAAAAGAGCTTTTGTTTTCCCAGATTTCTTTTTCAACGGTCAGAAGACTGGCAGAGGTGGTGATTATCTTTTTTCCTTCAAGGCCCAGAGGTTAGCAGCTCTTTATATAAGGGTAGTTCTGATCTTACTCCTGAATGCATTTACACAAAACAGTGGAGTTAGCTTATCCCTTCCTGCCTTAAATCTTGGTGCTTGCTCCTCTTCCTTACTAATAAATGTACTTTGTGGCATCTTTTTCCACAATATGGTACTTTCATCTGCAATAAAAACCTGTTCAGGCAGGTATCTTTTGTCCTCTATGATTTTCTAGATGGTGTCTGGGAATTTGTCTGTTGCCTCTTGGTCAGCAAAAGCTGTTATCTTGATGTTTTTTAAGCTAAAACTGTTTCTAAAATTATCAGACCATCCTTTCCTAGCATTAAATTCGCCAGCTTTAGATCCTTTACCCTCATTTTGCTTTATGTTGTCGTATAATGACTTCATTTTTAAAAAAACGTTAGAGTCTATAGTTAGAGCTTTTTTACAGCAATCCTGTACCCACATAACAGCTGCATTTTCATTATGAGATAAAAAGGTATTCTGCAGAAGTACATGGTTTTCACACCTAGTGGTGTCGCTACAGTGACAGCTTCACAAATTTCCTTGTGTTATTTTACAACAATCCTCTTGGTGGATTCATTTTATCTTGAAGTGGTGGGTAACCACAGCTACTAGACTTCAATCTATGGTCCATTTCAAGACGTTCAACTTTTTCTTGTAATGTCTTAACTTCTCTCTACTTGAGAGCATTCCCAGCATCACTAGTGGCACTCCAGGTGGGTCCCATGATATTATTCAGGGTTTGCTGTATCACAGTAAACATGATGGAAAATACTTGAGAACCTTTAGAGATCAGTTTTATTTGTTATCTTTTTGTCTTATTAGAGACAGAGTCTCACTCTGTCACCCAGACTGGATTGCAATGGTGCAGTTATAGCTCACTGCAGCTTTGAACTCCCGGGCTTAAGGGATCCTCCTACCTTAGCCTCCCACAAGAGATCAGTTTTTGACTGAGATACGCAATTTATTGGAGAGAGGAACTGCTCCTGCAGAGTTGATTAACTTGTTGGGGTGTTTTAAGTACATGCTTGCAACACTTGACCTCAGGCAATAGTGACAGGAAGTGGCTACAACACTATTACAGTAGCACAGTAGGTTCTACAGCTAATTTTATGCAGTTATGATTTAATACTACATCTTTACATTTGCTTACATTTCACTGGGCTGTGAATGTCACCTTGTATGCTTTGTAAGTGTGTAAATTTTTATAAATTTTAACTTTTTTAGTTGATTTGCATATATTTTACAGTAGTAAATGATAAAATATACTATCTATATTTTTTGTTTGTTTTGAGATAGGTTTTGCTGTGTTTCTCAGGCTAGTCTCTCGAACTACTGGGCTTAGTTGATCCTTCTGCCTCTGTCTCCCCAGTAGCTACGATTAGAAATGCACACCACTTTGCCATGCATCTACATATATTTTATGTATTCATGACATGCCTCACTTTTTCTTATATTCCGTTTTCCTAGGCTACGCGGTTTTTGTCTCTTAAGTTTTTCAAATTGTTGCAAATTTCCAAAAACTTTTTCCATATATTATATTGAAAAAAATTGGCATCTAAGTGGACCTGCAGTTTGAACCCATGTTGTTGGTCAGCTGAATATATTTTCCAATATCACAGGCGTATATACCTTTGCCAAAATTGTACTTCAGTAATTAAGTGAAGAATAACAAAGTATTCTATCCTTGGCAAGAGATGAATAAATATTTGAGTACCATTTTATAAAAAGCAAATACAAATTTTGCATTCCATGGAAAATCTTCCCAAGGTGTATTTCTGGACTTTTCCTTTGCCATTCTCTTCTCTCTTATCTCTCAAAATTATTTCTCACAAATGTAGCCATTTGTATCTACTTCTGAGTCTTATTCTTACTGAATTATCCATGTTCTCCCATTTTTTTTTTTACTAGCAGTCCTATCTATACACTTCAATGTCATATTCCTATATCCCTTTCACTGAGAAACTCTGTATCACACAGATCCCACAATTGCCTTCCTCTACTTCCCCAGTACTTGGTTTCTGCTTCATCATTAACACATTTTTTTGAAAGTTAGATGTATATATTTTTATCTCCCTCACAAGCCTATGAGTTCTGTTGCCCTTGTTTCTTTAGTGTCCATGGCAGAGCTTTATTCAGAATAGTTGTTCATTAACTAGGCAAAGGAATATCATTTGAGGATGCTAAGCCTGGGCTTATAAACAATATAAAGATACACAGAATAAAATATAGAAGACCTTTATACTCCTATATTCCTGCTTCTTCAGGGAGATCTTCAGTACTTCATACTTGATTTGAGTATTTTCTTTTTTCTATACATTTTTATTTAGATGTAAATATGAATTTTTAGATACATAACTGTATGTATAGTGACTCTTTTTTTGAGACGGAGTTTCACTGTTGTTGCCCAGGCTGGAGTGCAATGGCGTGCTCTCACCTCACTGCAACCTCCGCCTCCCGGGTTCAAGTGATTTTCCTGCCTCAGCCTCCCGAGTAGCTAGGATTACAGGTGCCCACTACCACACCTAGCTGATTTTTTGTATTTTCAGTGGAATCTTGGTTTCACCATGTTGGCCAGGCTTGTCTTAAACTCCCAACCTTAGGTGATCCGCCTTTCTCGGCCTCCCAAAGTAGTGGGATTATAGCCATGAGCCACTGGGCCTGGCTCAAAAAAATTTTTTTTTCATTTAACAATGTATCTTGGGGAACCATGTTAGTATATGTTGATGTGTCCCATTTTTAACTGCTGTATTCATACTCTGGACATATGTCTTAGTCAAACAGAAAAATCTAATGCATGTAGGCAGCAAAGTATTTCATGACATCAAGGAATAGCTTCTCTGGTGCTGAGGGAATATTAATGCCTGACATATTGGGATAGTTAGCACAGGATCTTACCACTGACTTATTTGTGTGAATAAGTCTTTTTTTTTTTTTTTTTTTTTTTTTTGGAAACAGAGTCTCACTCTTTCACCCAGACAGGAGTGCTGTGGCACAGTTTTAGATCACTGCAGTTTTGAAGTTCTGGGTTCAAGCAATCATCCTGCTTCAGCCTCCTAAATAGCTGGGATTACAGGTGCATGCCACCATCCCTGCCTGATTTTTTAGATTTTTTTTTTTTTGTAGAGATGAGGTCTGCCTATGTTGCTCAGGCTAGTCTCAATCTCCTGGCCTTAAGCAGTCCTCCCACCTAGCCTCCCAGCATGCTGGGATTATAGATGTGAGCCACTGCATCTGTCTTGTCCTGTCCTGCCTTGTCCAATTTTTATGTTTTTCTCAGATGCAGCACAGTGGCTCACACCTGTAATACCAGCACTTTGGGAGGCCAAGGCAGGCTGATCATGAAGTCAGGAGATCGAGACCATCCTGGCCAACATGGTGAAACGCTTTCTCTACTAAAATACAAAATATTAGCCAGGTGTGATGGTGCAAACCTGTAGTCCCAGCTACTCGAGGGGCTGAGGCAGGGTAATAGCTTGAACCCGGGAGGCAGTGGTTGCAGTGAGCTGAGATAGTGGCTCTGCACTCCAGCTTGGTGACAGAGTGAGATTTCGTCTCAAAAACAAACAATAAAAACAAAATAAAATGTTTGTCTCTTTCAGGGTAAAGAACATTTTCTTTCAATTGCCTGGCACATAGTTAACACTTAATACATTTGTCAAATTAATGAATGATCAAAGACTGTTGAAAGTTAAGTTCTAGACTAAATCATACAAAGTGCTTGTAATGAATACAAAGTCTCTATCTATGATGACATCTATAATATGTCTCAGGGTATTTGTTAACGAGTTAGTTATTCTATTCTCCTTGGTCAAGGAGATATCAAAATATTGAAGTTTAATATTCTTTTGTTTTTGTTTAGTAAACCTTCATTGCTGAATTACTATTATCTTTGGAAACTTCATTTGCTAATCATAAGATGAATTATTCTTTTATTTCCAGCATCCAGTGTTGGATGAACCAATAGCAGAAGCTGTCTGTATTATAGCTGACATGGATAAATGGACTGTTCAAGTGGCCAGTAGCCAGAGACGAGTAACAGATAATAAATTGGGAAAGGAAGTATTGGTTTCCAGTCTTGTTTCCAACCTGCTTCATTCCACACTTCAGCTTTATAAGCATAACTTGTCTCCAAATTTTGTAAGTATGTGTAGCAATAATTGCGTTACTTTAAGGGCTCTAGTAGATAACTAAGCTCTGCTTCATTTGTGCCTACAGTAAATACTGCTGCTAGCTTTCATTATTGTTTTTGTGAAAGAAAGCTGTTAGGGACTGAATATTTGTGTTATAGCCCGAACTCATGTATTGAAGCTCTAATCCACAGTGTGACAGTATTTGGAGATAGGGTCTTTGGGAGATATTTTAAGATCAGGTCTCGAGGGTGGGGTACTCATGATGTTATCAGTGGCCAAAGAAGTTGAGGAAGAGTGAGAAAAGTTGTTCTCTTTCCACCATCTGAGGATACAATGAGAAAACAGCTGTCTGCCAGCAGGAAGAGAGCCCTCACCAGAACCCAACTATGCTTGCACCATGGTCTTGGATTTCTAGCTTCCAGAACTGTGAGAAAATAAATATCTGAGTTATTTTCTTTGTTTGTTTGTTTGTTTGAGACAGTATCATACTCTTATCACCTGGGCTGGAGTGCAATGGTGCCATCTTGGCTCACTGCAGCCACGACTTTTTGGGCTCAGGTGATCCTCCTGCCCTGCCTGCTGAGTGGCAGGGAATACAGGCACATGCTACCATGCCTGGCTAATTTTTTGTATTTTTTTTGGTAGAAACGGCATTTTGCCCCATTGCCCAGGCTATTCTCAGACTCCTGGGCTCAAGTGTTTCTCCCGCCACAGCCTCCCGAAGTACTGAGATTACAGGCATGAGCCACCATGCCCAGCTATACATGTGTGTGTGTGTTTTTTTTTTTAAGCCACTCAGTCTACCATATTTTGTTATGGCAGCCCAAGCTAAGACAGAAGGGGATGTATACCTGTCTGTATGTTCTGATTTCAGCAGCTAGAATTTTTGATCATGTGTAGTATAGTCATGCAACATCTCCCTTGGCCGGACACGGTGGCTTATGCCTATAATACCCAGCACTTTGGGAGGCCAAGGTGGGCAGACCACCTGAGGTTGGGAGTTCAAGACCAGCCTGACCAACATGGAGAAACCCCATCTCTACTAAAAATACAAAATTAGCTGGTGTGGTGGCACATGCCTGTAATCCCAGCTACTCAGGAGGCTGAGACGAGAATCACGTGAACCCAGGAGGCAGAGGTGGTGGTGAGCCAAGAATGCGCCATCGTACTCCAGCCTGGGCAACAAGAGTGAAACTCCATCTCACAAAACAAAACAAAATCTCCCAAGCTTTATGTAGAATGTCAGTATATTCTGGATCCTCACTGTCATGTCAGGACTTTGAATGATCTCTTTATAATACTGGTAACCTCTTACTAATTACCCCATTTCAAACTTATAGGGTTCTTTCTTTCACTTATTAGGAGAACTATAATTTAGCATAGTTTAAAAGCTCTGTAGTTCAAGATGATAAAGGAAATCTCTGACAAACCCACAGCCAACATCACACTAAGTGATGGAAGACTGAAAGCATTTCCCTAAGATTAGGAAAAAGACAATGCTATCCACTTTCACTGCTTCTGTTCACACATGCTACTGAGAGTTTTAGCCAGAGCAGTCAGGCAAGAAAAATACAGATGACTTCAAAACTGGAAAAGAGGAAGTAAAATTATCTGTTTGCAGATGACATGATCCTCTTGTACATAGAAAACATAAAGATTCCACAAGAAAATAGTAACGCTAATAAGCACATTAAGCAAATTTGCATAATACAAAACATATAGAAATAAGTTGCATTTCTGTACAATTATTTGAACAGTGAACACTCTCAAAAGGAAATTAAAAAACAGTTCCACTTACAATAGTACCAAAAAGAATAAATTACCTAGGAGTAAATTTAGGGAGGCAAAAGACTTGTACACCGTAAGACATAAAACATTACTGATAGAAATTAAAGGCATATGAAAATGAAAGTACTTCCCATGCTCATGGATTGAAAGACTTAATATCAGTAGGATGTCATTACTACTCAAAGTTACCTACAGATTGAATGTAATTGCTATCAAAATCAAATTGATATTTTTTGCAGAAATAGAAAAACCCATCTTAAAATACATGAAGAATGTCAAGAGACCCCCCCAAAGAGAAAAAACAATCTTGAAAAACAACAGTGTTGGTAGATTCACATTTATTGATTTCAAAACTTATTACGAAGCTACAGGACTGAAAACATTTTGATACTGGCAGACCAATGGAATAGAATGGAGATTCTAAAAATCCTCACATATAAGTTTAATTGATTTTCAACAAAGGTGCCAAGACCGTTCAACAGGGAAAAGAGTCTTTTTTTTTTCTTTTGAGATGGAGTTACACTCTTGTTGCCCAGGCTGGAGTGCAGTGGTGTAATCTCAGCTCGCTGCAACCTCCACCTCCTGAACTCTAAGCGATTCTCCTGCCTCAGCCTCCTGAGGAGCTGGGATTACAGGCATGCACCACCATGCCCTGCTAATTTTGTATTTTTAGTAGAGACAGGGTTTCTCCGTGTTGGTCAGGCCGGTCTCAAACTCCCAACCTCAGGTGACCTGCCTGCCTTGGCCTCCCAAAGTACTGGGATTACAGGCATGTGCCACAATGCCCGGCCGGAAAGGAGTCTTTTCTACAAAAGATACTGGGAAAACTGGATATCTGCATACAAAAGAATTATGCCATGTACAGAAACGAACTCCAAATAGATCAAAGATTTTAGTTAATACTATAAAACTTGAAAAAAACCTAGGTGATAATCTTTGTGACATTGGATATGGCAATGACTTCTTGAATTTGATACCAAAAGCATAGGTAAAAAAGTAAAAAAATAGATAAATTGGACTTCATCAAAATTAAAAACTTTTGTTTATTAGCTCTATCAGCAGAGTAAAAAGACAACCTATAAAATAGGAGAAAATATTTGCAAATCATATATCTGAAAAGGAATTGATACTCAGAATATATAAAGAACTTCTACAATTCAACAGAAAGTAAACAATTGAATTAAAAAATGGCAAAGGACTTGAATAGATATTTTGCCAAAGAAAATATACAGATGGCCCATAAGCACGTGGAAATATGCTTAACATCATTAGTCATTAGAGAAATGCAAATAAAACCACAGTGACCTGCCATTCAATACTTGTAAGGATGACTATGATAAAAAGAATCCATAACAAATAGTAAGCATTGGCTAAGATGTGGCGACCTTGGAACCCTCATGCATTGTTGATGGTAATGTAAAATGGAGCTGTGGAAAAGTTTGGCTGTTCCTCAGAAAGTTTAACATAGTATTACCATATGATCTATTGATTCCACTTTTATGTTAATACTCAAAACAATTAAAAGCAGGGATTCAGGCAGATAATTGTATACTATTGTTCATAGAAACGTTATTCTCAATAGCCAAATGTTAGAAATAACCCAAGCATCCATCAGCAAATGAATGGATAAACAAAATGTGGTTTTGTTGCAATGTTTATTCAGCCATTAAAAGGACTGAAATTCTAATACATGCTACAATATGGATGATCCTCATAAGCATTATGCTAAGTGAAATAAGCTAGACACAAAAGGACAAAAATTGTGTGATTCCACTTATATGAGGTACTACAAATAGGCAGGTTCATAGAGACTGAAAGTAAAATAGTGGTTACCAAAGGCTGCAGGAAAGAAGAGAATGAGGAGTTACTGTTTAATGAGTACAGAGTTTTCGCTTGAGATGCTGAGTACAGAGTTTTTGTTTGAGATGATGAAAAAACGTTCTGGAAATGGATGGTGTTGATGGTTGCACAACATTGCGAATGCTCTTAGTACTATGGAATTATATACTCTAAAGTAGTTAATACAGTAAATTATATTACATATTTTATGTATACATATATTCAGCAGTTAACATTTTCTTATGGCATTATCAGCCTAAAGCATTGTAAAAAAAAAAATACACTACAAAGCCACAACCATTTGGTTGTGTTTTTCCAATAATAAAGTAGATTTTTATTAGGAGCTTAATAGCTGATTTCCATTGGAAAGGAACACTCTGAAGAACCTAATGTTTAACACCTGAAACTTCTGGTTTTTTTTTTTTTTTCTTTTCTTTTTTTTTTTTTCCATTTATTTATTTTATTGCATTTTAGGTTTTGGGGTACATGTGAAGAACATGCAAAATTGTTGCATAGGAACACACATGGCAGTGTGATTTGCTGCCTTCCTCCCCATCACCTACATCTGGCATTTCTCCCCATGCTATCTCTCCCCAGCTTCCCCCCCCCCACCCTCCCTCCCCTATTTCCCCCCAACTGACCCCAGTGTGTAGTGCTCCCCTCCCTGTGTCCATGTGTTCTCATTGTTCAACACCCGCCTATGAGTGAGAACCTGCGGTGTTTGATCTTCTGCTCTTCTGTCAGTTTGCTGAGAATGATGGTTTCCAGGTTCATCCATGTCCCTACAAAGGACCCAAACTCATCGTTTTTGATGGCTGCATAATATTCCATGGTGTACATGTGCCACATATTTCCTATCCAGTCTATCGTCGATGGGCATTTGGGTTGGTTCCAGGTCTTTGCTATTGTAAACAGTGCTGCAATGAACATTCGTTTGCACGTGTCCTTATAGTAGAACGATTTGTAATCCTTTGGATATATACCCAGTAATGGGATTGCTGGGTCAAATGGAATTTCTATTTCTAGGTCCTTGAGGAATCTCCACACTGTCTTCCACAATGGTTGAACTAATTTACACTCCCACCAACAGTGTAAAAGTGTTCCTGTTTCTCCACATCCTCTCCAGCATCTGTTGTCTACAGATTTTTTAATGATCGCCATTCTAACTGGCGTGAGATGGTATCTCAATGTAGTTTTGATTTGCATTTCTCTGAAGACCAGTGATGATGAGCATTTTTTCATATGTTTGTTGGCCTCACGTATGTCTTCTTTTGTAAAGTGTCTGTTCATATCCTTTGCCCACTTTTGAATGGGCTTGTTAGTTTTTTTCTTATAAATCTGTTTTAGTTCTTTGTAAATTTTGGATATCAGCCCTTTGTCAGATGGGTAAACTGCAAAAATTTTTTCCCAATCTGTTGGTTGCCGATTCACTCTAATGATTGTTTCTTTTGCTGTGCAGAAGCTGTGGAGTTTGATTACGTCCCATTTGTCTATTTTGGCTTTTGTTGTCAATGCTTTTGGTGTTTTGGTCATGAAGTCCTTGCCTACACCTACGTCCTGAATGGTTTTACCTAGATTTTCTTCTAGGGTTTTTATGGTGTTAGGTCTTATGTTTAAGTCTTTAATCCATCTGGAGTTAATTTTAGTGTAAGGTGTCAGGAAGGGGTCCAGTTTCTGCTTTCTGCGCATGGCTAGCCAGCTTTCCCAACACCATTTATTGAACAGGGAATCCTTTCCCCATTGCTTGTTTTTGACTGGTTTGTCAAAGATCAGATGGTTGTAGATATGTTGTGTTGCCTCCGAGACCTCTGTTCTGTTCCATTGGTCTATATCTCTATTTTGGTACCAGTACCATGCTGTTTTGATTACTGTAGCCTTGTAGTATAGTTTGAAGTCTGGTAGTGTGATGCCCCCCGCTTTGTTCTTTTTGCTTAGAATTGACTTGGCTATGCGGGCTCTCTTTTGGTTCCATATGAAGTTTAAGGTGGTTTTTTCCAGTTCTGCAAAGAAGGTCATTGGTAGCTTGATGGGGATAGCATTGAATCTGTAAATTACTTTGGGCAGTATGGCCATTTTCACGATATTGATTCTTCCTAACCATGAACATGGAATGTTTCTCCATCTGTTTGTGTCCTCTCTTATTTCGTTGAGCAGTGGCTTGTAGTTCTCCTTGAAGAGGTCCTTTACATTCCTTGTTAGCTGTATTCCTAGGTATTTTATTCTCTTTGTGGCAATTGTGAATGGAAGTTTGTTCTTGATTTGGCTCTCTTTAAGTCTGTTATTGGTGTATAGGAATGCATGTGATTTTTGCACATTGATTTTGTATCCTGAGACTTTGCTGAACTTGCTTATCAGTTTCAGGAGGTTTGGGGCTGAGACGATGGGGTCTTCTAGATATACAATCATGTCGTCTGCAAATAGAGACAATTTGACTTCCTCCTTTCCTATTTGAATACCCTTTATTTCTTTTTCTTGCCTGATTGCTCTGGCTAGAACTTCTAATACTATATTGAATAGCAGTGGTGAGAGCGGGCATCCTTGCCTGGTGCCACATTTCAAGGGAAATGCTTCCAGTTTTTGCCTATACAGTATGATATTGGCTGTTGGTTTGTCATAAATAGCTTTTATTATTTTGAGATATGTTCCATCGATACCTAGCTTATTGAGTGTTTTTAGCATAAAGGGCTGTTGAATTTTGTCAAAGGCCTTCTCTGCATCAATTGAGATAATCATGTGGTTTTTGTCTTTGGTTCTGTTTATGTGGTGAATTACGTTTATAGACTTGCGTATGTTGAACCAGCCTTGCATCCCCGGGATGAAACCTACTTGATCATGGTGGATAAGCTTTTTGATGTGAAACTTCTGTTTTTTTCCTCAAATGCGTTTAGCATCAATTCACATGATTAAATCACCTATTTTAGTAAATTGAGCAAGTTAATTGACAATAAAATATATGTGTTTTCATTGTTTTTTTTTTAACTTTTTTCACCCAGGCTGAACTGCAGTGGCACAGTCATGGCTCAGTGCATCCTCAAAATCCTGGGCTCAAGCAGTCCTCTCACCTTAACCTTCTAACTAGCTAAGACTATAGGATTGTGCCACCATGCCTGGCTAATTCTTTTTTTTTTTTTTTTTTTTTGTAGAGACAGGGGTCTCACTATGTTGCCCAGGCTGTTCTCGATGATACTTTTGCCACCACCTCTCAAAGTGTTGGGATTATAGGTGTGAGCCACCATGCCCAGATGTGTTTTAATTTTCAGTCTTTCAGCTTTCTTTGTGAAGTTTTGCCAACTGTTTTTTATTCTCCACAGGAGAATACATCCTTTCCTATGTAAACACAATTGAAATGTATTTATTCATAAAAATTTTATATTGATCAAATTTACAATAAAAACATAGCAAAAAAAAAAAGTTTTGGAAATGGAAAGTGGTGATGGTTGCACAACATTTTGAATGTATTTTAGTGCCACTGAAAATGCTTAAAAAAGGAGCCAGACACAGTGGTTCACACCTGTAATCCCAGCACTTTGGAGGCCGAGGCAGGCAGGTCACCTGAGGTCAGGAGTTGAAGACCAGCCTGGCCAATGTGGTGAAACCCTGTGTGTACTAAAAATACAAAAGAAATTATCTGGGTGGTGTGCATGCCTGTAGTCCCAGCTACTTGAGAGACTGAGGCAGGAGAATCTATTTAACCCGGAGGCAGAGATTGCAGTGAGCTGAGATTGTGCCATTGCACCCCAGCCTGGGTGACACAGTGACACTCCATCTCAAAAAAAAAAAAAAATTGTTAAAAGAGTAAATTTTATGTCATGTGTATTTCAGCGCAGTTAAGAAAAAACAAACAAAAAAATGCTGTAGAAGCTAATCTTTGATATGAGCCAGAAAAAGGTTCACTTCCTTTTTAGCTAAAACTACATACTTTAAAAATGTGCTTCAAATCTTAGTTCATGTTGGAATAAATAAAGAGAATTGTCAGAAACATTATGTTTTGGAATTTGCCATGACTTAGAGTTGCATACTATTTTCTCACTTGATTATTGATTTCTCCCTAACTGCAGTGTGTAATGCATCTTGAAGACCGGTTGCAGGAGCTATACTTCAAAAGTAAAATGCTGTCTGAATACCTGAGGGGGCAGATGCGTGTTCATGTCAAGGAGCTGGGAGTGGTTCTGGGGTATGTTAATGCTTTCTTTTCTGGCTTTGCTTCCATTGCTCTGTCATCAGGTAAGGAATGATCCTTAGAATTGCCCTTTTTCTTTTAAGTATCTTTTTCTATGAGAAGCTGGAGGCTGTTATCATTTAGGTTGCCCTGTACCATGTAATAGCAGATTCCCTGTCATCCACTAATCTGAAAGGCATTATCCCTTCTTTGTGCCATTCATGTAGTAGGTTGAGAATATAGTCAGAATGAATTAAAATCTGAATTTTTGTGTCAGAAAAAATAAGTACATACTCATTTTTAAATTTTTTACATATGTTGAAAATTCATTCTTCCCAAGCATCTACCCTGCCTTCCAAATGATGTAACAGAAGTCTGCGAATGGTAATACATTATCTACATATTACTCCTTCTTCCCATTAACTATATATTATATCTGTCTACTCTGCATTTTTCTGTGGCAGAAAAGTTAACAATAATGCTTACTGAAAGAAGAATGGGAACTTGGTGGGGGACATAGTATAGCCCTATTTCATTATGTTCTGTGGTCACTTTTCCTCTGTTCTTTGGCTACTTTAGGCGTGTTCATGTGAATCATTTCTTGAAATCCCATTAAAGAAAGTAAAACAAGCTAGAGCTTTTATCTAGTTTGGCTTTTATGATGGGAAAAGAAACCAACATCACTGAGAACCTACTATATGTCAGAAACCCAAATGAAAAATTTTTATTAGTGTTATTTCTTAATTCTTTTTTTTTTTTTTATTTCTTAATTCTTATTATCATCCTACAGTGCGTAGGCAGTGTCATCAAGGTTAGAAACAGATGATTCTGTCAGTTAACATGCCACATGTCACACACTGGTAGGACTGATAGGGATTTGAATGACTCTGTATCTTGGTTACTTTAGACCCTATTTATATTCTGTAGTACCACACTGTTAGTCAAGTCCTGATGAAGATTTTTACTTGAGTTATACAGAGAAAATTGTTCTCCAATATTTGGAAAATCGGTAACGGGATATAATCTTGTATTTCTGGGGAGTGAGGGGTATGTGTGTGTGTGTGTGTGTGTGTGTGTGTGTGTGTGTGTTTAATGCCTTTATGTAAAAATATTTAAGATAAGATTTAAAACTAACATACATAGAACCAAAATGTACAGTATATTTTGGCATACAATGAAAAGCAGGTCATTGTCTTTTTTCCCCCAACTTCCAACCCCTATTCAGACACTGTTAACAGATTGTTTTATAGAATTTTTAAATGAATATTATTTAAAAATCTAAGTTGGTTTATACTCTTATGTTGTTGTACAACTTTTAATATATCTTGAATATTCATATAAGCACATACCAATCAATGTCATTCTTCCTAATGGCTGTCTAGCATTCCATTATATTTTGGAACTTAGATTATTTTTAGTTTTTTGCTGCTATAAACCAATGCTAGAGTGAATATAAATCTTTGACATTTGTAGGATAAATTCATTGAAATAGAATTTTTGGTTAAAGGGCCTGTATTGATAGTTTGATAGATTATACTGAATACTCTGCAGAAAGTTTCAGTATGAATTCCCACAAATAGTAATAGGCACTCTACTCACTACTGGCTATTACCACATTTCATCTTTTCCAAGGTACCAGCTAAAAAATGGCACCTGATTTTATCCAAATTTCTCTAACCATGAGAGATCTGATTACTATTATCTATGTTGATTGGCCATTTTTCTTTTTCTATAAATTTGTGGTAGGATGTATTTTGATGAAGCTCCCATTACTTCCAGTAAATCTTATTATAAAAGCATTTGAATCTCAAACAATCTGGGTACAGACTATTACTCTTTTTTTTTTTTTTTGAGACAGGATCTTGCTCTGTTGCCCTGCTGTTGGTGCATGGCTGACTTTAGCCTCAACTTCCCAGACTCAAGAGATCCTTCTGCCTCAGCTTCAGCAGTAGCTGGGACCATGGGCACACACCACACTCCCAGCTAGTTTTTAAAAATTTTTGTGGAGACAAGGTCTCACTATGTTGCTTAGGTTGGTCTTAAACTCCTAGGCTTAAACAATCCTCCCACCTAGGCCTCCCAAAGTGTTGGGATTACAGGTATGAGTCACTGTATCAAGCTATTATTACACTAGATTGTAGTTGTTAGTCATTGTGCCTTGCCCAAATGTATGTTCTATCAGCATGTCATTGAGACACTTTCCTACATTTATGATTTTGTTACTTATATCTGTAGTTCTGTGTTTTATTTACTGAAAAATTTTCCTTTTGTCCTGAGTGACCTAGGTCCTTAACCATTGAGGTACTGTGACCTTACAGGTAGTGGTCATTGCCTGTAGAGTTCATGTCCTCAGTACAGAAAATCAGAACTGACATTTTTTTTTCTTTTATTTCAGGATTGAATCCAGTGATCTTCCACTTCTGGCTGCTGTAGCAAGCACTCACTCTCCATATGTTGCACAAATACTCCTTTAGTATGCCTAAAGATTGTTAGAAATTGGTGGGAAGTTAAGTAGAAACCAAGGAAGCAGACACAACATGCATTTGTGGAGATTCTTTTTCCCTCTTAGACTTTCTTCTGAATGAGTCAGTCACCAGGGTATCCTGCACAGCATTGTGTATTCTGTATATGTCAGATGGCTTTTTCTTTTTGACTGGACTTTTGGGTGGTGGTAGATTTTTAAACAAATTAGAGCAACGTTAATAATTTTGAAGCATTCGAAAAAGCCAAAATGTATGGTAGAAATTTCTACAAAATGAATATTATCAGGAGTTTCATGTGATCACTGCAGTGTTGTCACAACTCATAAATAGCAACAGTGTCTCATGATTTAATGGCTCAGAAAGTCATTTTGTTAGTTTTTAATTTTCAATTTCTAAGGTACAGAAATCTCTAAAACCTTGATTATTTGTTATTTTGTTTTGCAATTCAAAACAGCTAATTTCTGGTTATTTCTCCAAGTATTTTAAACAGCCTGTTAATTATAACAAACTTAGAATAATGAGTGTAAATGTGTTATGTTATCCACCCAAGTGTACATATATACCTATTTTTTTAAAAAAGCAGAAGTAAGAAATACAAGATTGGTAAACACACCTTTAAAAAAAAAATTACAACTAGTATTGTCCATAATGCTGAACTGTTACTTACTGGTGATTTTTCTGTTTCACATAACCTAAAATATAAGTAAAGCCAACCTTTTGAAGGTTGAGATTCCCCAAATGAGAATACTACTTCATACCATTTGTTTATAAGTATGAACTATTCTTATGAATATTAATATTTACATATTCACTAATTTGACATAAATAAAAATTAGGATTAAAAATTACACCAAAGCATTGGCAAAAACAATACTATATTCTTTAAAACTGCTCAGGTAGCCAAGGCCCTTGCTTTTGGTATCAGCCCTTCATGAACCCATAGGAGCTGAATATTTGTTTCACTGCTTAATAATACTCCATTTACACTAATAGAACTCATAACTCTTAAAATTATTCTCTTTTTTTCTACGAGACTCTCCCTTCTAAAATTGCGTTGTTTTTTTTTTTTTTTTTTTTTTTTTTTTTTTTTTTTTTTTTTTTTTTCAAAGAATTTTACTTCTCAGTCGTTGCCTTTGTACATACTATAGAGTGTTGCTTGTAAGAAAGGCTAATACGGAACCAAACTCTTGTAAATAATGTAAATAGAAAGTTGGGTGGATAAAGTTTTCAATATGCTCTACTACCTCAGTTTACTTGAATACTACATTATAGCTTATTCTTTGCTTATCTGGTCTAAGAAACTTAATGCTAGTAGTAAAGTTGGTTTCTGCTTTCATTGACTATTTTCATCATAATTTCATCATTGATTTAAAAAATACACTTGTTTATTCAGTTATTAAAATACATTTACTGTATAACACATCCATTCTTGCTGTTAAATTTTCAACAGTTAATGGAAAGTTGTCTTTGACCTTGAATTTACAGCATTGGGTCACATTTTGCCTTGTTCTGTATGTATTCAAGAGACCTCCAGGCCAGGTGCAGTGGTTCACACCTGTAATCCCAGCATTTTGGGAGGCTGAGGCAGGCAAATCACAAGGTCAGGAGATCGAGACCATCCTGGCTAACATGGTGAAACCCCATCTCTACTAAAAATACAAAAAATTAGCCGGTGTGATGGCACTCAGGTGGCTGAGGCAGGAGAATTGCTTGAACCTGGGAGGCAGAAGTGGCAGTGAGCCAAGATTGCGTTACTGCACTCCAGCCTGGGCAACAGAGTGAGACTCCTTTCTCTCTCAAAAAAAAAGAGAGACCTCCAACTAGATGAAGAAGAAATGATTGTTTTTATGGAATGTAAACCTGAAATTGGTATGTCTGCAATCTGTTTGGCCCACGACCTTTTACCTGGTCCCAGTTATTACCTGAGTCTCCCATGGATGACTCGCTGCCAAGGAGTGTTTGTGGATATATTTTCTTTGGCTTAATTTTCTTATTGCATGCATTAACAAAATTATTCGGTTGTCTAATTTTGGAATTCTGTGAGTCAATCTTTTTGGCAGAATTCAGAATATTAAAAAGTTCATACACATGTGGGCCATTTTACTTTTTTTTTTTTTTTTTTTAAATGGAGTTGCACTCTTGTTACCCAGGCTAGAGTACAATGGTGCCATCTCAGCTCAGTGCAACCTCTGCCTCCCAGGTCAAGTGATTCTCCTGCCTCAGCCTCCCAAGTAGCTGAGATTTCAAGTGTGTATCACCACGCCCAGCTAATTTTATACTTTTATTGAGATGAGGTTTCACCATGATGTTGGCCAGGCTGGTCTTGAACTCCTGATCTCAAGTGATCCACCCGCCTCGACCTCTCAAAGTGCTGGGATTACAGGCATCAGCTACTGCACCTGGCCTTGTTCATTATTTTTATATTGTAGCTGTATGTAGCAGTTGGATAATGTCTGGGTGTTTCCTTAACCATCAAACTATTCTTTATTTAAAATGTTTATTTACCATTTATAAATTCTAGTCCTCAATAAGTGGGTGGCTCATGCTACTGTTGTTTCTAAAGCTAAGCTTTGCTGGGAAGGAAGTGGCCTATAGTTCCTTAAAGAATCATTAATCCTTATAGGATTCCTGAGTTGTTGTTGTTTTCCTCCCCCCTCCCTCCCATTCCTGAGTTTTATAATTCCTAATCCTTCTGTAATTTCTGTTACCTTCATCATAGTCATTCTTTCCTTATGCAAAGCCCAAGGAATGAGCTGCTGCTAGTTTAAAGTGTGGTCATTATGATGAATGTGAAAAGACTTTTGGCTTGTTCAAAATAATTTTTTCAAGTTATGATACAGACAGTTGTTACATATCAAAATGAAAACCCTGTTTATTGAAATAGGAAATAAAAAAGGGATCTTTTACATTATAGAATTAAAACTTTTTTTCTTGTATATAAACTAATTGGTTTGATTTTAAGTATTTCTGGCTTTTATTAATGTCTTAATTTTGAGTTTGAAAATGTTAAGTGCAATAAAAACATACTATTACAGATTTTGTTTTGTTGGAATTGGCATACTCTGGGGATGATCACTTAAAAAAACAGATTTTACACAATGCCTATTTCTGGTATATGTCTTATGAGATTGTTCTGCTTTTTCTAAGTTACTTAGTTGATGGATATGTAAAATGTACATAGTTGTTTCTTGTTCTGTATACATTTCTCAAATGTACACTTGTATTATAATAACCTCCCAGTTCTAGGGGATATTTGTGCAATAAATACACATGTCAATTTGATGGATGGTGTTGGTCTTTATTTCATATATTAAAGTATACTTAACATTATGGAGTCTGATGTCAGACCACCTAGATTCTTGCCCAGAGTTAACTTCTAAGGATGTGACCTTTCCACAAAGGTAATTTAATAGAATCTACTTCATGAGGTGGTTGTGAGAATCAAATGAAATAATGAATGTCAAGAATTTAGCTCAGTGCTGGCATACTCCAAGTGCTTAATAATTTTTGGTTGCTACTTTTACCAGATAATGTGGCCAGTCTTTCTCCTGTGTCCCCCCTACCTATTGTTGTGAGAATTTTTAACATGTTCTTATGAATAAAAACATAGTTACAGAAAATAGTGTATCTTACACAGACAACAAATTGAAAATTTATTTAAATGCTTTTATGAAAGCAAACTGAACCCAACAATCAAAAACCTAGAAGTTACATATGTTGTTAAGATAATTGTATTCAATGCAGGCCAGGTGCAGTGGCTAATGCCTGTAATCCCAGCACTTTTGGAGGCTGAGGTAGGCAGATCACCTGAGGTCAGGAGTTTGAGACCAGCCTGACAAACCTGGTGAAAGCCCCTCTCTACTAAAAATACAAAAATTAGCCAGGAGTGGTGGCAGGCACCTGTAATCCCATCTATTCAGGAGGCCGAGGCAGGAGAGTTGCTTGAACTGGGAGGCAGAGGTGGCGGTGAGCTGAGATCGCACCACTGCACTCCTGCCTGGGCACAAGAGCAAATCTCGGTCTCAATAAAAAAGAACATTGTATTCAATACAAATTAGTATACTTTACAAAAAATTGGCTGAATAGTTTGGGTTTTAGTCCTCTTTGTTCACTGATTTGCATGTGACTGAGCAAGTCTGTTGTCTTTATCTGTATTGTAGGGAAGTCAGCTTTGTGCCTGCTCTATAGCAGTGATTCATCAGTGAGTAAGCATACAGTATTGGTAAGTTCTCTTCCTCAGGCTGGGTTGATCTGGGCAGAGTTAGTCCTGGAGGCAGGACTAGACCAGGGGTTTTTTGATGTACCTGTTTTCGTATAATATTACATGTATCACTCGTAACCAAAGAGAATAAGTGGACTGTTTCAAAGCAGATAAGTCTCAAGTATTTGAGAAATCTCAGCTATTTTAGAGGTTTAAAATTGGTAACATTTACGAGAAGATTTTTGCTAATGAGAAAAGGAAATATAGAGAGTTTAATGTGATTATTCGAAGTCATATAGTTTTTCCTGTGATGTTCATCTTTTCTCCCAGACCAGAATGGTTTCTCAACTACTGTGTGGTGACAGATACATTGTAAAGATATCCGGTATTTCTTCATTTGTCTTTGCCAATATGATAGGTAGGGGTAGGGTGGCAAGTAGGACCAAACCTGAGCTGAAGGTGTGAGTGGGAACAGCTTAGGCAGATAGAAAAAGGGGAGACAGGAGAGTGTAGTGCTTCCTGTTTTTTTTCCTTACTGCAGACTGGGCTTTGCCATGTTTGCTCTAAATTTAAGATTAATTGAGACTTCCCTGAAAAAAAAAAAAAAAGCAGTCAAAACCAGAATATGTTTCCACCCATTATTTGTCAGGAGAACTTTGGTGGCCTTTTGGTCTTAAAGGATGTGCTCAGTTACCCTCTCTCCTCCGATAGTGTGGTGATTAGGTCTCTTTATCTTTCTTTTAACACCAACTTTCTTTCTGGTGAACCTGAATCTAGACCTGATCCCTTCATCAGACTGCAGACACCACTATCTGGGTTAACACAGACTTCTTAGACATCCCACAAATAAACCTGCATTTACTCTAAGGAGAGTCTTAAAGAAGCCTGAGCTTCCTTCCTTTTCAAGTGCCTGTCTTAATAAGGACAGTCCGAAAACCTGTCTTTATATTTACCTCAGTACACAAATTCAAATTAATGATAAAGGCAATATTCCTTTCCTACATTGTCTCAAGGGGAAGGACGAAACTGTCGATAAATGTGTAAATACACGGAAGGTATTAGTTCCTTAAGAATCTTGTGATACCATTCTTGGGGGGCATTTTTGGTCTAGCACTTACAAGTCAATGTCCTTCTTAAGTATGGTACAATGGCTGGGCTTAAAAATGGATCAGACTAGTTTAGAACTACAGATACTATAGTTTAAAGTTGTTTTCAAACCTGGTTGCATATTAGGAGCACCTGGGGTAGCTTTTGAAAAATATGAATTCCTAGATCTCCACTCCCAGAGATTCTGATTCAATGATAACAACTGACCTTCTGGATGTGAGTCAGTAGAAGCTCTTATTTTTCCATAGTAGTGACTCAACCT